TGCAGTATCTTTTATCATTAATTTTTAATTTCAAAGTTCTATGATCCAATAACATGCAAGGGATAATTTGAAGTCTTTTGCATTTATTTGAATATGTTCTCTGAGGAAATATATGGTCTATTTCAGAGAATGAGCCATTTTCTGTTGAGAACAATGTGCATTCTGATGTTATTGGATGGAACACTCTGTATATGTTTATCAAGTCCATTTGTTCACATGTGCAATTCAGTTTTTTCATTTCTTTGCTGATTTTCTGTCTGGTTGATCTGTCCCTTGGTGTCAGTGGTGTGTTAAGATCTCCTGTTATAATTGTATTACTGCTAAATTGGTTTTTCATTTTTATTAATACTTGTTTTATTTAACTGTATGCTCTGGAATTTGGTGCATGTATATTTAAGACAGTTATCTCTTGCTCTTGAAATTTTTCCCTAACAAGTATGTAGTGACCTTTTTTTTCTCTTCTGATTATTACTGATTTAAAATTCACATTGTCTGCAAACAGAATGGCTACTCCTGCTTTTTTTTAGGTTCCTGTTGCATGGAGTATTGTTTTCCATCCTTTGACTTTCAGTCTGTGAGTATTCTTTTGGGTTAGATGGGTTTTTTTGTAGACAGCATATGGTTGGATTTTGTTTCTTAATCCATTCTGCCAGTCTGTTTCTTTTAATTGGTGCATTGATACCATTTATATTAATGGTTATAATTGTTATATGTTGGTTTATTGTTGATATGTTATATTTCTGCTGTTGCATCTTTATCTTTCTGTTCACTTTAATTATCTGCTTTGCTTAGTGGTTTTTTCCTTAGTGTATCCAAACTGTCTTTCAATATTGTTTGCAGGGTTGGCTTGATGATCATGAAATTCTTCAGCTGTTCTTTGTCATGGAAGTATCTTATTTCTCCATCAGTTTTGATGAACAGTTTTGCAGGGTACATCAGTCTAGGACAAAAATCATTTTCCCTTAGGATCTGGAAAACTTCACTCCATGCTCTTCTTGACTTTATTGTTTGTGCTGAGAAGTCTGCTGTGATTCTGATAGGTTTTCCTTTATAAGTGATGTGTCTTTTCTCTCTGACAATTTTTCATATTCTATTATTTTGGATTTCTGGGATGGTGATTATTATATGTCTGAATGTAGTTTTATTTTGATTGTGACTATTTGGAGCACTATATGCTTCACTGATCATGATTGCGATTTCCAATCTCCTGTTTTGGTAATTTTCGACTCTTACTTCTCTAACTATTCTCTTCCCATCCTTTATGTCATTCCCTTCTTTTTTATTAATCCCTTCCATCTTATGTTTTTTTTTTGGGGGGGGGGTCACCTTGCAGTTGTTGAATTGTTATTTCCTGATTCTTTATTATTTTTAAAAGATCTTTCCTTTCCTGTTCACTATGTGCAATCTTGTCTTCAAGGTCTGAAATTCAGTCTTCACTTTCATTGAGGTGGTTTTTGCACCTTTCAGTGGAATTTTTGATTTCCTGTATATCTCTGTGCATCTGCTTTATGTATTCTGTTTGTTTCTTATAGTACTCATGTAGGGATTCTATCTTTTTGCTTAATTCCTCCAATTTTTAACTGTGTTTTCTTTAGTTATATTCAGCATCTCTTTCATTTCTTTTATCATTTCTTCTTTTACCTGGGAGATTATTTCTAGTTTGAAATCCTTTAAAGCTTCCTGAAGTTGCTTGTTTATTTCAGTTGCTATTATGTCCAATATTTGAGGTGTATTACATATATTTTCTTCTATGTACATCGCTCCTAAGGTTTCTTTGGATGAGCTGGAGTTTTGAGGTTGTAATTTGGTCTTTCGTTTTGTCATTTTTCTATATTTCTGTGTTTCAAGTGTTTTGAGTGTTATCTAAAGCTTCCTCAGGGTCTGTTGGAAATCCTCTTCTATAACCTCAGCTTCTGGGACTCTGGCACCCAGTTCCCTGGATTAATAGCAAGTCCATGGTGGTGGAGCAGGCTGGCTCAAGCCCAGACTCTGGAACCAATGGCTTCCTCCTGTTTGCTTAGCCCTACACAGTCTGCCAAGCACAGCCGGGAGAGGGGAGGCTGATGCATGCTCCCAGGATCTGCCGTGCTGCTCCAGTATACCCGGAAGTGGCAAGGTTCCCTGGCTGGGCTGAGAGAGGGTCCCAATCTAGCTGGGCTCAGGGGAAAGTGCGCGGGGCACTTATGCCAGGTCGCTGGGCCTCTGGAACCAGTTGTGCCGGCCTGCTTGCTTAGAACTCCACATTCATCCAAGCACAGCCAGGAACAGGGACATGGATGCAGGTGCCCCAGACCCGCCCAGCTGTTCCAGGACACCCGGAAGATGTGAGGGTCCCAAACAAGCTGGACTCATGGAAACTGGGTGCCCGCCTGCTTGCTTAGAAATCCACAGTCCTCCAAGCAAAGCCAGGAATGGGGAGGCAGATGCAGTGCCCCAGACCCGCTGAATTGTACCAGTGCACCCGGAAGCCGTGAGTGTCCCAAACAAGCTGGACTTGGGGCGGGGGAGTGCATGGGGCACTTAGCCCAGGCCGCTGGGCCTCTGGAACCAGTGGCGCTCACCTGCTTGCTTAGAACTCCACAGTCCTCCAAGCACCTTTCATTATTCTTTTAATGTCTATAAAACCTACAGTTAACTCCCTCCTTTAGGCCTACTAGTTATTTCTGCCTTATATATGTGTTTTGCCATGAGAAATTAAAATTTTCTAAATTTCTGGCTGTTATTAGTCTTTCCCAAAGTAAATCTTAGCTTTTATATTCCTATTTTATCTCCTCTGTCTCTGTCTCTCTTTGGTCACTGATTTTATGGATACTCTACAACTGACCCATGTCCACAGTCCCTTTTATTTTTAATTTTGAGGAAAGTTCTCATTAATTTGCCCAGACAGGACCTGCATTTGCAATCCTCTTGCCTTAACCTCCCAAAGTGCTAGGGTTGCAAGTATGCAGCATAGACTCACCTTAATTTTCTTTTCTCTCTCTCTGTCTCTTTTTCTTTTCTTTTCTTTTTTTTTTGGCTCTGGGGTTAAAACCAAGGCCTCAGGTTGGGCCAGTACTTGAAAACTGAGCCACACTCCCATCTTGACAACTGTAAATAGGCCTTTACGTGGAAAAAGAGAAAAAAGAAAAAAACCTTTGCAGTTGTAGCTGACTCAAGGATCTACTTTATATTACTATTTGGAAACTGCATAAATATTAATACCCCAATGCTTGATTATTATTTTTTTAAAGACAGGGTCTCCCTATGTATTCCAGGCTGGAATTGAACCCACAGTCTTTGTGGTTCAGCAGAGGGTGACTGTCTCTCCAGTCTAAGTTCTGAACCATGAAACCCCAAAGCTCATACTTGCCTCCAGAACCCTGACCCAGCCTCTGGGAATGGGCTCCAGGGGGGCTGTACTAAGCCAAGGCCATGGTCCCACTGGTTATTCTCAGGATTGATTTTTCCTGCTTCTTGCCCACTTCCCTGACCCTCACTCTGTATTCTTGGCCCAGGTGGAAGTTATCCTTTTGCTCCTCATTGTGGAGACAGACACTGCTCACATGCTGTGCTTCTGGAAACCAAACAAGAGTCACACTGGAATCCCAAATGCAAGATTGGAATTCCAAGGAGCCTCTCCCTGTTCTTAGGGGCAGATTAGACCAGGCTGGGTGAGGCCTGTCCCTGGGAAGATGAGCCATCTCGGTCTCCCTCCAGTGAAGGACCAGAGCAGCTAGAATTTTCCTGGCTTCTGGCTACAGAAAACATAGGTATGCACCTGATGCACTGGTAGCTGCTGATCTGCAGACCCATAGCAGACTGGGAGGCCCTGCCCTGGTTATTCCCAGAAGGCGCTCTGTCTCAATACTTTTGTGGGGTTTGTTGAGGGATCATTGGTGGCTGGAGGTCCTGCCAAGAGAGACCAGAAAAGAGAGCAGCAACATAAGACCAAAGACTCAGTGCCTGGGGCCTGGGTATGACAAGTTGCCCCAGGTATGCAATAGGGAAAACAATGAGTGTTAGAGGGAAGGTCAAGTGGCCCCTACAGCAGACCAGGCAGAATCTCAGAGGGAGAGATCCAGGGCCATGGAGCTGTCATGGAGGGACCCCTGCCATAGAAGGGATCAAGCTTTCCTGAGCTGCCCTGGGATGGAGTTGAATCCTGCAGGTTGCTGGGCCCCATTTGGTCTAGCCCAGAGAGTTAAAGTCTGTTTATCCCACAGCTCAACCCTCCAACATCTCTCAGTCTCATAGGAACCTGGTCTATGAATATGGGATCCAAACTATCTTCCCAAATATCTCCCATGGTCTGTTATTATCCTTGAGTTATGAATGCAGAGTCCCAGTGTTTTGATTTGAAGGGCAGAGTTCTCCCAGAAGAGTACAGAAGTTTCGTAGAGCATGAGGGAATTGAACCTTCCCTTCTCTTTTCTCTTTTCTCTTCTCTCTCTGTCCTCTGTCTGTTTCTGTCTCTCTATCTCTCCCTGCCACCCACTTCCCCTAGAGCTTGCTAACTAGTTCAGGCTGGCTTCCAACTTCAGCATTCTTCCTGCCTCATCCTTCCTAGTGCTGGGATTGTATGCACATGTCACCATGCTCCACCATGCTCTGTACATTGTTTGCTTTCTACAGGTACAGGGAAGGGGCTTTGTCACACAACCCACCCTCAGAAAGGTCAGAGATGACAGCTTGTTAGATCTGAGCTTCTGCAATCCATGGAAGAGTGCTCCCAGGGAACCCTTTGCCATACAAAACGTGGAACTCTGAGAATGACCTTCCTTTTCTCCTTCTTTCAACCTTGCACAATCTTCACTAGAGGGGAAACAGAGGAGGTATCTTGTCATGTGTTTCTGAAGGACCTGTTGACAACTGACTCACCATTCTTGGATTTAGCAAATGATGGATTAGCCCACCCTGGGAGGGTGATAGCCATATTGACCATAAATAGTTTCCTCAGATTGGGCTCCTCAGCCTTTCTCTTCCTCCTCCAATACCTGTCAGCCTAGCAACTGTCCTGAGCCATGGCTGTGGGTCTCCTTCTTTTGGGCTTCATCTTGCTAGGCACACTGAAGACCCAAGCTCAGGACTTCTGGCCGACATGGCTTCCAAGCCTGCATCTTAGAAAGGTTCCTGTGCAGCCAGACTTCCAAGCTGACCAGGTAAGGGTTCTGGAAGGGCAGCTGTAGGGTGGGTTGGGTGAGAAATGACAGTAAGAGGGGAGAGAAAGAAGGGAAGAGAGTCAGATGGACTCTGAAGCAAGGTAGGATGAGAGGACAGGACTACAGAGTCCAGACGCAGTGTATACTGGGTGGGGACACCTTTGGACCTTCTGCATGGACAAGAAAACTTAAGCTTTGAGATATATGCTGCAACTTGCCCAGGGTAACCCCATCCCTACAACTCAGGGCTGACTCCTCACACAGGGTGTTCCTGGACTAGAAGGATCCCTGCTCCTGCCGGCTTCCAGGGCAAACCCATTTCTGGGTCCTGTTGCCTAGAGAGCTTCCCAGAAGTAGCAGCAGGGAGATCATGGGAAGGGTGGCTCCGGATCCATCCCTGGGCTTTGCCTGTCATCAGTCCCCTTGCAGTTCCAGGGGAAGTGGTACACCATAGCTACCACAGACAGCAGGATTCAGAATGGAAGTGAAAAGCAGATCAATATGTCCAGCATCATCTACAAACTGGAACATGACCACAGCTTCATTTCCAGCTCTTTCCTGCTCAGGTGAAGTTGCCACCTCCTGGGGGCCTAAGAGGCAGACCGATGTCACTGTCAAGGAATGTCCTGCACTGTGAGATGCTGCCATTCCTCTTCTCACTCTGCATGGACTCCAACTCCCTGCTTTCCCCTTACCCTTCTTTTATTCTGTCTTCCTCCCTCCTTTCCTTCCATCAACTCTCATGGGTAGCTTTAGTAAAACCACAGAATCAAAAGAAAACAAGACATAGAGTAGTGTGTTAAGCAGAGGAGGACACTGCATCCAGCCTGGGATGCCACCCAATGCCACTATGTAGGCCTGGTAGGGATGTCACCTTAATAGAACCAACCTACCTTTGATCCTAGCAGGCTCATCAAGTGAGACTGAGGTGGGAAGATCACAAAATTGATCCTGGGCAACACAGTGAGATTTTATCTGAAAAAAGAAAGAAAGAAAGAAAGAAAGAATGAAAGAAAGAGAGAAAGAAAGATAAAAGAAAGAAAAGGTTAGCGATATAGTAATAACAATGCCTCTGAGTTAAGAATCCATTATCATCACCAGCACCACCACCACAACAATAAAAAGAGGTTCTGGAAGGTCCTGAAGTGTCAGGTGGACTCTGAGTCAGAGAGCCTCACCTTAGAGTGTAGCAGAGCAGCCAGCCTTCAGTGACACTCTGTCTCAATACTTTTGTGGGGTTTGTTGAGGGATTTTCTGGTGGGAGGAGGGGAGCATTTTCTGGTGACTCTCTGGAGTATCCCATCTCAAGTTAGGCCTAGCCTGGGCTCCTATGAATTTTGGGACCTGGCACAGCTACTCATCAGGCAAGATAGGGACAACCATGAAGGTAAGGCCAGGCATCTATGCTGGAGATGGCAGAGGAGGGGCAGATGAGGACGCAGAGTGGGGAGCCTCGGTTCTGCCACCTGCAGTGTGTTCAGCCTCTGGCCACTGCATGCACTGGAGTTGGAGCATTTGAGGATCAAGGATCCCAAAGAAGGCAGGGAAGTTTGTCTTGGGTTGCAGGGAAGATGTCGACTCAGGGAAGGGGTCAGGAGTGGTGCAAAAGTTCAAACAATGCTTGGCATTGGGGCAGAATGGGAGCTTAGATGAAATCCCCAAGACAGATGGGACAGGGGAGCAGCAGGATGAGAGCAAGGCTCAGTGGCTGGGGTTTGTGTGTGGGACAGGCTGCCCTGGGGAGGCAACAGAGGAGATTGAGTACTGGAAGGAGGATCAAGTGGCCCCCGTAGCAGACCAGGCAGGGGCCTGGAGAGGAAAGCCCAGAGCCATGGAGCTGGCTGGGCATGGCACCAGCCATAGCTGGGGACAGACCATCTTTGGCTGGGCTGGATTGAGGGTCTCAGAATCCTGCTGTAGCCTGGCCCCTCTGTGTACAGACTCTTGGCACCCAGTCTTTGTTATCTCCCTGATATACTCCTCTGTCTCCCCTGTGACAGGGACCAGGTCTGTGAACAGTTTATCAGAACTTTTGTCCCAAGCATCCGGCATGGCCAGTTCAAGCTGGCCAATATGAAACGTGAGTCTTGACTAGTGGGACCCTTTCCATGGGATTCTGGGGACAGAATCTTCCCAGGAGGACACAGGATTCCTGCCCACCACAGCGACGCTGTCCTGTGGAAAGAAGCTCTGGTTGATTGGTCATGGAGGAAGGAATCAGACCCTTTCTCCCAGCCAGGGCAGGGATGACCCCAGGCTGTCCATGTTGCAGGTTACCATGGAGTACAGAGCTACACAATGACAGTGGCAGCTACCAACTACAATGAGTTTGCTGTGGTGTACATCAATCAGATGGTCAGAAGCAGGGTGGACTTCAGGATGGATCTCTATGGTGCGTTCTCATTCCATTCCCTCAGGGACCTGCCTCCTGGTCACATAGAGGAGGGGTCCTCTATACCCGAAGACCCCTAAGGCTCTTCCACCTCGAGCCCTTTCAAAGAGGAGGCCTTTTCACAGACTTTCCATGGGAGAGGGGTCTGAGACTTCCTCCCCTTGGCCAATGGCACTTAAGGCTGTCACTAACACCAGTGGGGCTGGAGAGGGAAGATTGAGCGTTTAAGGCCAACCTGAAGTGTATGGCAACACTTTCTCTCAAAAAGCTTTTAAAAACCATGAGGTATTTCTCTTTTGGCCACCTGCTGACTATCTTGGCCACAGGGAGATCCAAGGAGCTGAGCCCAACAGTGAATGAGGACTTTGTCATTCTTGCCAAGTACCTCGGCCTGATGGATGATAACATTGTCTTCACCACACCCCTGGGTAATGATGAGCTCAGCAGAAGAAGAGAGGCTGTGGGGCTTCTTTAAACCTGATGCTGCCCCACCAGGGAAATGGGTGTGAGTAAACTGAGTCCCTTCATCCAGTTCCTGGAAGGTAGTGGTTCCCACTCATGGACTGTGGTCCTCAGGGTCCTTAGTTTAGGAACCAGTTCAGTTAAGGCCAGGTCAGAGGAGAGTTTCAGGCCCAGGACAGAGACTCCACAGGCATGCTGCCCTGGGTCAGATGCTCCAATACCTTGAATTGCTCACGGGCCATATCATCTCCATACTTAGGGCTTCTCTCTCCTGGGTCACTTCTTCTTGAGATCTTGGATCTTGCTGCCCTGGACCATTTCCCTCTTCTGCTGGAGCTTTCTAACTCCTCAGATGGAGACGTTCTTATTTTCCAGTGGCCGGGACCTGAATTGATAGAATCTCCAGATCTCTGATTCTTGTCCAGTCTTGACCTGAGGCAGAATGGGCAGTGCAGGAGTCCTGGCACCAAGAGATCACAAGTGTGTGCACATGCATGCACACACATGTGCACACACACACCCCTCACCTACCTGCTCTGACATTCTTCCCCACAGAGGAGTGCATCGATGACTGATTGTTTAGTGAGTATGGTGGGACAGTGGGCTGATGGGAAAGCAGGGAAAGCAGGCCTGGGAGTCTCTGGCAAACCATTCTTCCCCTAATCCCATCCAAACCCCAGCCATATATATTCTGCTGTCCCCTCAGGTGCCTCCTTTATTCCAGACCACTCTGGTCTTCCCTTCACATCTGGATGACATCAAGATATCACACCAGACACAAAAAATGCCAGTGAGAGAGATGGATGAACCTACTTGCAGCACAGTGCTGACCATGCAGCTGCCCCAAGAGCCACCCCGCTGATGGACCCTCCCTTTTCTATTAAAGAAACAGATGACCTCAGGTCTCCATGTCTGGGTTCCTTGTCCCCAGGGCCATGAGAATGGGGAAAGGTGCAGGGAAGACTCACAGAAGCAGCATCCTGGGCCTTTGTCCCCAGAACACAGCTTAATGTTAGGGTGCATAGAGAAGGCACAGGGCAAGGATGTCCAGGTTCCCTGCCACTTTCCTTGCCATGCTTGCCCTGAGTTCAGTCTGGGTAGGCTGACACCTTCCTTCCTCTGGCATGGATTACACTGTCTTAGTCCTGACTTGGGCTCAGCTGCAGAGCAGCCCTTGATGAGGTGTTTCCAGCATAGCAGACACACTGATGGGGCCAAACCTCATGGCCTCGGTTGGGCATCTGCACTGAGTCACTCAGCACCTCCTTGAGGACTGAGGAGCTGGGACATGAATGTTGTATATGAAAGCAGCCACCATCAGCTCATCAGCACCACAAGATCAAAGCATAGAAAGTGGCACTGGGAGATGATGAACAAGACAGGAAGGCGTGCAGTGGGTGGGGCAGAGGCAGAAGACTACTCCAGACAGAATGTGAGCAGAGGTGGGCACAGCCCTGATGCTGACATCCTATGGGCCTGGTGCCCAAACTCCTTCCCACACTGGGGTGAGACTGGTCCCATGCTGACCCTATCACACGGTGCCTCAAACATGATGATGTGCAGACCACTCAAGCATGCATTCTGAAACCAGGGCAGAATCGGGTTAGTCGGGGAATCTGCTGCCAAGAATGCAGCCTGCTCAGAGGCCTGTGCACAGCCTGACAGGCCCTAGTCCCTGCCTTGGCCACAGCAGTCATCTCTAGATGTGCATGATGCACAGGAATCCCTCCTGCTTCTTTCCCCTTTTTTAAAAGAATGATCGAAGTAACACATAATTTCAAAGAAAAATATTAATACTAAGAAATTAGTAGTTGCTAAGTTACTTATTGTGCTCTTAGAACTAATTGTTCAAGTTACAATATCAAAGCATAAAAAGTGGACAGACAAACACTGACAGTGCAAACATTCTGTTCAATGATCTAATGAACACTTAGCAATGTGGTCATCTATCTCACACACCTAAAGTTATATCCTTTAGAGTAGTTTTCTTCCCTTTCATTTTTACAATATCTATTATATATTTTGGATCTTATTAATCTCTCAGTTTTTATTATTTTTATGCTAGAGAGAGAAAGTGATATTTATAAATATGAGTTTTATTTATTTCACTTATGTAGATAGTCTCGAGTTGCCTCCATTTACCTGTAAAGCCTCAAGATCAACATTTTTTATAGCTGAGTAATATTCCATTATGTAAAAATACCACATAAGTTTTATCCACTCTACAGTTGTTGACAATTTTGGTTGTTTCCAAGTTTTAGCTACTACAAATTGTGCTACTATAAACATGGGTGCACCTACATCATTGTGGTATGATCTTTTCAATATTTTTTGGAAAGTACCCAGGAGTGCAATAGCTGGATTGAGTGCAACTTCTAATCATAGTTTGTTGAGGAATCTCCAGTTTGATTTCCACAGTGGCTGCACCAGTCTAAACTCCCACCAACAGTATAAAAACATTCTTTTTTCCCTACAGCCTCGCCAACGTTTATTATAAGTTGATTTCTTGAAGGTAGCTATTCTTTCCACAGTGAGATGAAATCTCAGTGATGTTTTAATTTGCATTTCTCAAATGATCAGTGATGGTGAACATTTCTTCATGTATTTATTTGCCATTTTTTTTGTCTTTTTTCTTTTTATCAGTGCCGGGGATCGAACTCATGACTGCCTGCTTGCAAGGCAGGTGCTTATGCCACTGAGCTAAATCCCCAGCCTCTTATTTGCCATTTGTATATCTTCACCTGAGAAGTGTATGTTCATCTCCAATGTCCATTTTTGGAGAGGGTCTTTGAATTTGAGGGGCTTGATGTTTTTCAATTCTTTGCATGTTCTTGATATTAGTCCTTTGAGGGGTTGCTGGCTAAAATTCTTCCCCGTTCTATGTTTTTTTTTTGCACCTTGTTGGTGATTTCTCTTGAAGTACAAAAATGTTTTGACAATATGAAATCCCAGTTGTTGATTCTTCGATGTACTTCCCATGTGGTTTGTATTTTGTTCATGAGCTCTGCCTACTGCTATGCCTCCAAGGTTTTTACCTACTTTTCTTCCAGTTGATTTACTGTTTCTGTTTTAATATTTGGATCTTTGACCCATGTTGACTTCAGTCTAGTGCAAGGTGATACACATGGGTTTAGATTCAGTCTTTGGCATGTGGAAAGCCAATATTTCTAACACTATTTATTAAAGAGGCTATCTTGTTTTTGCAGTGAACATGTTTATCCCCTTTGTCAAATGTCAGGGGGTTGAGTTTGCATCTTCTAATCTGTTCCATTTATCTTCAGGTCTATTTCTTTGCCAGTACCATGTTGATTTTATCACTGCAGCTTTGTAGTATAATTTCAAGTCAGGAATTGAGATGCCTCCTGTTTTGCTTTTGTTGCCCAGAATCGCCTTTGTTATTTTAGGTTTTTTCCTGTTTCCAAGTGAATTTTAAGAATTATTTCTCTATATCTGTAAGATATGTTAGTGGTATTTTGATTGACATTGCATTAAATCTGTAAAACAGTTTTGGGAGTGTGGCTATTTTCTCTATGTTGGCTCTTCTAACCAGGGGCAAGGAGTATCCTTCTGTTTTTTAATATCCTCCTCAATCTCCTTTTTAAGAGTAGCATAATTAGAACTGAAATTTTTGGGCATTAAAAAGGATGGTGGATAGATAATAGAAAGCTACAGAGGCTCCCTGAGACAGTCAACTTAGATTCCACAAATAATATAGCATAGGGAGTCCTGAACAGAGGGAGTTCAACCTTCCTGACCCAGGAACAAACTAAGCGGAGAGAAACCATTTAAAAATACAGCCCCAGTGCTACTATTGGAACAGCTTGAACTCGCTGCTACAGCTGTGCTTGAACTCATGCATTGGAAACTTACTGAGCTACCCAAAAGCCCACCACCACTGTTTCAACTCACTGGAGCTGCATTCGCATTAAGGACGGGAATCGGCAAGCCGAACTGAGAGCTGAGATGGCAGGGAACCCTGCATTGACCTGTGGTGAGTTATGGGAATAAATAGACAAGGAGGCTCCAACAGATGACATTCTGGGACTGGGCAGACTGGCCAATACAAGGCACTGCAGTGACTTCAATCAGCTACTCCCTTCTCAAGCATGATTGGTGGGGAGCACTTGACCTGGGCCATGCCCTGAACTGAGACTCAGTAGGCTAGCCCAAACCAAGTCCCTATGCCTGGTGGTGCAGCCTAATGCAGTGAAGCCTTCCGCAGGTTGACTGACCTGGAGGGGCAGGCCCAGCATAGGCTGCCCCAGTCTGTATCTTCCTAGTACACTACAATGGGTGGGAGCAGCTAGTCAGCTGATTCAGACAGACTGTAACCAACAAAGAAAGAAGCAGGGCCTCCTATATACACCTGTATGGAAAGGACAAAAATTTGAGAAGAGGAAGCAACAAGAAAGAGTGCCCAGTCCCTAATCCTGAGAACACTGATCCAGGAAAAGTAAATATAAAGAATGAGGACAGCAAACATGCAATATCAGACACAGCACCAGTAGACATAAAGTGATATCTTCAGGACCTCATAGATGAGTTCAAAAGTGAAGTATTTAACCAAATAAATCAAGATATAAATAGAATAATTAAAGAAATTCTAAGCACATCTCAAGAAAAAACAGATGGAAGAAGGGCAGAACACAAAAGGGGGGGGGAATTGTTTGATAAAGAAAATAGAGAAAACATAGAACACATGAAGAAGGTTCAAAGATTACCAGGAAATTAAAAACTCCATTTGTCATGGTTTATGTCTGTGTCCCCCAGGCCTCATGAGTTTGCATTGTGCATTTGTGAATGGTTCATTGTATAGTGCTTGGATTGATGGTGTCAGTGCCACACCAACATAGGGGTGGAGCCAGGATGTGATGTAATGGCAGGAAGATGGTGTGTCTTGCTCTTTTGCTGGTTTCTGCTTGCTGTTGGTGGCCACCATGAACTGTGGCCCAGCCATGCCTGCCTGCCTTGGAGCCAACTGAATGTGGACTGAAACCTCCAAAAACTGTAAGA